AGATCTCCAGAGACTTATGAAATGTTTCGTGTACAATTTTTTTGAAATTTTGTAATTGTTTTTTTGTTATATTTTCTGATTTGATTATTGGTAAATATCTTAATGGTTGTTTTGCATTCAGTTTATTGCACCTCCAAGTCAATATATATATATATATATTTTTTTTTTGCAAATGAGCATTAAATGCACGATTTTTATTAAACAATTGTTTATAATCATTACATCAACAATCTTTACAGGAGTAAGTTAATTGTAGCCTATTGCAACTAAAATAACAAGACCAACTAACACTACGTGAGTGGATTGACACTGTTATTGCCGAATGGCTAATGCTCATTCAGAACAAAGGAGTTGGTGTAGTGGAGAATATGTATTTGTTAGTGTTTAGGTGATTAGACTCTAGTATATTTATGATAGTATTGAGCGTACTATCATTATTTTTCACTTGAAGTGATGGGACAGATGTTTTGGTTTTTTTCCATTTTATTCTACCGGCGAGAGATGTAATTGCAGTTTCGGATCTTTGTTTCCAAACCTTGTATAACATTTTTAATGCTTTGTTTGAAATATCCTCTCTGTTTTTGCTAATGTTGTCGAAGGGATGGAGATAATTTCCCAGTGCTATTTGAAGAATGTATGATTCGGTTAAAGAACTTGTACTGATAGGTTGTTGTGTATTGCTGTTTATAGAACTGGTGTTTGCTTAACTGGCTTGAATAAGGTCCATGAGTTTGGGCTTCTTTTTATTGAGAAGTCTCTTGCTATGACAGCAGTGTATAACATGCTGAGTTTCTTCTTCTATGTCACACCGGAGGCAAAGGTTATCTGGGTATAATGTGGGGTATCTCTTGTGAAGCTTTGATCTTGTTGAAAGCTGGTCTGCTATTAGTTTAGTATGAAAGGTAGAGAGGTCCCTGAATTTGATTTGATCTGCTTTTTTGAGTTTTTTATTAGCTTTGATAATGTTTTCAAATTGATCAAAAGAATTGGGCTTGCAGTGAGCTGATTGACTTAGGGTAAGGTCATATAGGTTTGTATATAAGTTAATGAATTTGATCCAATGTGTTATAGAAGTTGCATTAATATGGTTTATAAGTGGTGATGTGGAGAATCCTTTGGGTGGCATGAGTGTAAGGGACTGGACTGTGATAGTGGAATGAGTTACCTTGAGTGAGACTTTGTGTTTTTGCCAGGTAATTGTAAGACTTTTAGAAATTGTGATTCTGTTTATGTGGTTAATGTGCCTTGAAAAAGGTATTTTTATCCATTTGTTAATATAATCAGGAAGGCGGAAGTTAGGTAAACTGGGTACTTTGTAAATTATGTGCAAGCATGGTGGTGATGAGGAAGCGACTTGGGCGAAGACTGGCCAAAAGCTGGCCCATGAGTTGGAGTTATTTGTAGCAAAGTATTGAAAGATATTGGATTCGACATCTATGAAGTTCGAGAAAGTTGTAATTGTTGTTGTTGCTGGGGGTTGATGATTATTGGTCGGAGCTTGAATTATTATTTGTGGGGGAGCTGTTGAGACTGGTGTAAGGATATTTACTAACTTACTAATATTGTTAAGAAGCTTATGATAATAGTTGTATAATATGGACCAGGTTGATTTAAGCTGACTTAGATAATGACTTTTGATACATGGTTGAGTAAGGCATAAGCATGGAGTGATATGTTTGTTGTTTATGTCCAAAATATGATATATACCACTCATTATTGGGCATATTATGGCATTGCTTCTGGTTTTAATGAAGTCGAGATTATTGTTTTCGATGTAGCACCAAAACTTTGATCTTGGATTGGGAAGGGGCAAAGTGTTTTCTTGGATTGAAGGCATGGTATTCGTGAGGTTTGCAAACCAGTTTGGTATTGACCCTTTGGTTATAAAGCCTTTATGAATATATAATTCTTTCCAAGTGAGCTTGGAGAAACTGTTGAAAACCATTATATCATAGAGAGTTTTGATGTTATAGTGATAAAGGGATAAAGCAGTTTTTTTGTTTAAGTTGATAATGTAGCCTATTAATAGTTCATGGTTCTCCATGCTGAAAGAACATGGAGAGGAACAAAGGTTGATTTTGAATTCGATAGCAACATTGGCTACTTGTGTGATCCATGAAGGTTTGAAAAGAGTGGGGTAACATATTGGGCATGACCAAATTGCGTGTGAAGCTTGTATTGATCTGATTTCCTGTATCGTTATTTGATATGTTATTGGGTTGGCAAGCCTTGATACCAATAATTTGACTGCTGTTAGGTCTCTCTGTTTTGGAGTTTTACGATATCAAGTCCGGCTTTGGAGTGGAGAATTCTGTTGGAAATTGTACGTTCGACACCTAGTTTTGACTTAATAGCTTTGTTAAGTTTGGCTTGGAGAGAGCTGATTTTGCCGTTTGTTACAAAAGATATGTATGTGGCATAATCCAGTTGGGCTAGAACTATCCAGTGGGAGACTTGCCTAGTAATTGCTCTATTCCAAGCTTTTTGGGTTGCGATGGTATTAGTAAAGTTTGTTACCTTCTCAATAAACTTTTTCCTGATTGCGAGATTGGAAGATTTTCCTAAAAGAAAAATCCTCAGGTATTTGATGGCTTCATTATATGGCTTGAATTGAATATTTTTCTTTTCAACCTTGAATGTTTTTTGCCACTTTAAATTTGCAGGTTTAAGATTTGTAATGAGATCTGTTTTCTTTTTGTTGCACTTGATATGGTTAAGTTTCAGAAATGAGCAGAAGATATCTGTAGCTCTTTATAGGTTATCAAGGCTGGTGCTTGTGATTGTGGCATTATCTATGTAAGTCATAATTCTTGCCTTTTCTAAAAGATCTTTGGAAATTTTTGATACCATTGGGTCATAGAAAATTGTCCAGAGTAGCGGAGCCAATGTTTTGCCTTGATCTATACCATTGTTAACTGTGATGGGATCATAAATTTTGTAGTATGTTATTATGCTTAAACTACAGTTGTGCATGAGATTAAGGATTAATGATGTAATTTATAAAGGGATTTTGATACGCTTCAGAGCAGATTCTAAACTCGAGAGGTTTACAGAGTCAAATGCTTTGGAGATATCAAAAAAAGGCAAACCAGTGTTCATTATTGAGATTATTTGCAGTTTCTAATTCAGAGGAGATAATGGCGAGGGGTTCCATGGTGCTTTGATTTTTGAGTCCTGCGAAAGAGTTGTTTGATATGATATTGTTTTTGAAGATGATGTTTGACAGTCTGTTGTTTATTATTTTTGTGAATATTTTCCTGCTGGTTTCAATAAGAGAGATGGGACGGGTATCCGTTAATTCATGAGACCATACTATTTTCTTAAATAGTAATGTGATGACAGACTGCTTCCAATGGTTGGGTGGATTACTTGAACTTAAAACTGAATTGAATAATTTCTTGATGTGTTTCTTTGCTTCAGTGCCTAGATTAGTCCAAGCTTCATATGGGATTAGGCTGAGACCAGGAGACTTTTGTTTGGGAAGTGATAAAAGAGTTTCATTAATTTCATCCAGAGTGATTTCCACTATGGTGTCATGAAAAATGCTGTCGGGAAGGGAGCTTTTGGGTGTGTATTCACTTGACCAGGATGGGTCCAAGTCGAAGGGTTTGGGATCCAAAACTTTTTTAAAATGATTGGTGATAATCTCAATTAATTTATCTGGATTGTCGTATAGCTGTTCGCCATCAGAGAGGATGGAAAGGTCCAGAGAGGGTTTAAGATCTCCCAGGGCTTTTTTGATTGCTGCTTTGGGTTTCTCCCAAAAATTGAGGAAGTTTTTTTCTATTTGGTCTCTAATTTCATCAATGGCCAGTTGTTTAGCCTTTTTCATTTTTTCCCTAAGAAGGACTTTCATGACCTTCCTGAGGGACTTAGTGGATGGTGGACTATTGGTAATGTTGTTGTGTATGGTGGTTGCTATTCATGGGAGTTTGCCTGATGTGATATTTTTCCATATTGCAGCTAGAGCCCTTTTTATGGCTTTGATGTTGGTGTCATATTGGAGAAAAACTTTACTAGGTGCCGATGGTGGTATTTGTTTCTTTACTGGAATGTTATTTGTTATGGCTTTTTTTATTATTAGATTTATTTCTTCCCAGGATAGAGAGTTTGCTCCTGTGCACATGAGTTCAATTGACTCTCTCATTGACTCAATCTGCTCTTTGGTTGCTTTGTTAAATTGAAAAGTTTTTGTTGTAAATACAATACAGTCTGGCTTGTATTCAAATCAGTCCATAACTATCGTAATAATCTTGTGGTCAGTATAGATAAATGTCTGGTTGAATACTTTATAGCTAAGAATTTTGCTGGTCAAGTTTGTTGATAACCAGATTTGGTCCAACCTAGAGGCGCTGGTGCTTGTGGTGTGTGTATATAAATGTTCTTTGTTGACCGCCTTGGCTATATCGATTAGATTTGTGAGGTATCTGTAGATTTGCTGTTTGTGAGGGAAGGTAGGAGCTTTATGGAGGGTGTTCCTTTTGGATAGGAGTTGAAGTCTCCGGTAATTATTAAATGTTTGTTTTTATATAGGTTTATAAACTTTCTGAGAGATTGTATGGCCTCGGATCTGCTTGCTCTATCATGGGGCAGATATATTGCGATGATGATAATGTCTGCCTTAGGTTTGAACTTGAGATGAGCAGTGCACCAGAATTCATTTTCTGTGTAGGTGTTGAAAATGTGGCAAGACACCTTTGTAGTTAAGATAATGCAGGCACCATTGATAGCTACTAGATTAGGTTTGCTGGAAATGATAACCTTGTTATTTATTCTGTTAAGTAGTGGATTATATAATGTGGATTTGATTTCGGTGCAACAAAAGATTGCTCTTTCATTGTTAATAGATTTGATGATTTCATTGAGCTTTTCTTTTTGGTTTAGCCCTTGAACGTTGAGTATGGAAATTGTAAAAAGGTTTTTAATGCTTGAGGAGAGAATAGTTTGTGAAGATTGTGCAAAAGAGGGTAGAAAGTTGGGTGCAGTTGATTTCGTCATGATTAAAAAAGGCATGGGAGAAGGATCAATCCTAGGTCAGGTGACTCTTTTTCGATAATAAAGGTTGAAGGGAGTTTATCAAAATAGAAGTGGGTCCTGAGCAATTTTATAGCAGGTGTCAAGTATTGGTCATCCATTAATGGGAGTGTTATGTTGATATCAATTTTGTTTAGGTGTTCCTGGACTTCAACCATTGAAGGCAACATTGGAAGCACAGGTGACATCCATTCTCGTGATATTACTCCTTGATATGTATTCTTGATTTTTTTAAGTGTTTGTGAGATCGTCGGCGAGTCTCTATGTAATTGATCATCTGTAATATTAAGTTGGAGCTTGAGTTTCTCCACACTTTTGGGGATGTGAGGCCTTTCATCCTAAATCAAGTTTTCGTTAATCCATTCTGCTTCTAATGGCAGCTTGAAAAAGAATTTTTGTTTAATCATTTGGATGAAGTCTTTGACTTCCTCTTGTGATTGGATTGGCAAGGAAATAGAGTTGTTTTCGCTATACTAATGGGCTGGTGGGAGTGGATGTTTTACTTGAATATAGTTCATTGGAAGTCACCTGACTGCAAAGTTGTTGAATCTAAAAAGGTCTACGACTGAGTAAATAGCTTCAGGGTTATTTTCTACTGGGAAATGGTGTGCAAGCTCAAAGGGTAAGTCCATGTATGAAGATGGGAGTGTTGATTTTGGTGGAGGAAGACTGAAGTAAAAGTCTGGCAGTTTAGTGGGGACATAATAATGGTCTCTTAATTTGCTGATAAGTTCTCCAAGATTTCTCAGATCACTATGTTTGGTTAAGGGGAAAAGCATTTTGACTTCAAATTTGAGATCATTAGGATTATTGGGGATTGGTGGTCTCTGAACGAAAAATGAGGCAGGAAGCTGGTCAAAGTTATAATGTGCTCTGAGACTGCTTGCTATATCAACTGTATTTCTGGAGGAGATGATAGGAATAGCATATGAGAGCTTGATTTTGATTGAAGCCGGGATGTGATCGGGCAAGGTGGGTAGCAATGGAAGTTTGTTTTTGATAGCTTCCTCACATTTAAATAGGAGGGTTTTGTAGTCCAGTTTTTTGGATGTGGGATCAGTAAAGAAGTTTAAGCCATATTCCAGAAGTTGGGCAATTTGCCAATGTTTAAAAGAGGCGAGATCTGTGGACTTTAGAAAGGTGATGAATAATGCTTTGTTGATAATTATTCTTATTTTTTTCTGGGTTGTTCTGTTGATATAGCCAATATTGTTAGCTCTTAGGTAGTTCTCGTGGAAACCTTTTTCCAGTTTCTTGTATTCAATTTGATGTTGACCCTTTAGAGAGGTTTCCTTGGCAAAGGTCCTAAAAAAGCTATGGTCTCTGTATCCGATTTTTGCCATAATGGCTTTGGATACTGGTTTCATCTCGGAAGGGCCTTCCTCCCTAATTTTGAGGAGCCACTGATTGATAGCGTCAGTATTTCTTTCGCATTTGTCAATTTCTCTACAAAGTTCAAGAATTTTGGAGTGTTCATCCAAGGGATTGATTTTCCTAATATCTCCTTCAATTGTCGATGGTGTGTTGGATTTAGTAGTATCAATGTTGTTGACTTCATCTGCCCAGGATTCGATAACTGTGGCTGAAGCTGACTCAATTTGTGAAGAAGTGAAGGCTGGTGTGTTTTGCTCATCAATTTCCATTTCTGTGCTATTATTAGATATTACAAGTGCGAGGTGGCTGGTTTGGTTAGGTTTGTGTGTGGTGCTTGACCCTGCATGAGGGCTGATTTGATCTGCACTGTGGTCAGGGGTAGCTGTGTGTGATGTTTCACTTGAACAATCGTCCTGCATTTCATTGTCATCATTCATTACCTCATTAGGAGCTGGGGTGTTTGGAGGGGATCTGGGTATTTTGGTTTTTTGCTTCAAGGAAAAAGTATTGTCTGTGCTTGAGAAGAGAATGTCAAGTCTGTTCCAAGGCATGTGTAGTTTGTAATTTAGCTGTTTTTTTATAATTTCTTTCATTAATTCGGTTCTGTCTTCATCAGTTATCTCAAATATATTTTGAAAGTCGAAAAAGACATTGAGGGAGTCTGCTGGCATGGGATCCAAGTAGAAGATTTTGCCAATGGTTATTGGCATGGAGATTCTAGTTCTTTGGTATACTTCAAAAGAAGTAGTAATTACTTTTGGTATTTCCGGGCCTTCAGTAATAGAATGCACTGGCGTGAGCCAGGATAAAGGAGTATTTCCAAGTTTCAGAAGTTTGTGAGAGGAGTTTGAAAGAGAGATGATAATTTTACTTGTTTTAGTGTTTTTATAGATGATAATGGCTTCGGGTTTTTGAATATCAGTGATGAGAACATTTAGAAGAATGTGCTCATGATTGTTAAACTGGCCCTTGGAGGAAGAAACTCCTCCAGGGTTACTGACAGTTTTTTTTTTAGACGAAATTTTGTATTTCCTTATTTGGTGGTTTTATCAGATTCAGGATTTTTAGTATTAAAATTTGTATTTTCTAAAGAAAAAGGAAGTTTAATAGGTTTGCAAAAAAAAGATGATAATCTTGAATTTTGTAAAAGAAAATTAATAACAAGCTCAAATATTTTTTTATTAATTTTTGATTTAGAAATAGGAATATATCTTTGATAATCATTTAAATTAAAAGTTTGATTTTTTGCTTTTTTAAGAGCAGTAGAAAATTGTTTATTGCTAAAATTAAAACCAAGGTTTTTTAATTCTATTCTACTATATAAATTAGCAATTAATGATAAAATGCTATATTTATATTTTGTAGAAACTGAATTATGTAATGTTTTAATATTATTGATAATTTGAGTGGATTTTATTGCATTGTGAGAATTAGAAAAAAATAATTTTTCAATATAAGAATTATTTGAAATTAATCATATAATTGTTGTGATTGATTGTCAAATAATTGTAAAGCAGTATCATATACAATAGATGTAATAAGACTTTTTGGGATGAAGAATATGAATTAAAAGGTATAGGATAAGGATTATGAGAATTTAATAAAGAAAAAAGTTTTTTCTAAGATTTAAAGAAGGCATAATGAAAAATTTTCAAAATTCGAAAATGGGATATAATTTTGTTTATATAAATATTTCATTAACCAATAATTGGATTTTAATAAACTTTTTTTTATATGATAGCATATGACATAAGCTTTAAAACAAATATTTTTTTATTAAATTTGATTATATATTGACAGAGATATGAGTATTTTAAACTTTTTAAAAAATTAAACTCGCGGAAATATACAAATTCTAAAAATAGAGTTTAATTTATTTATATTATTTTCTCATTAACTAGTAATCATATTTAAACATACTTTTTTTTATATAATAGCCTATAATATAAGCTTTATATAAATATTTTACATATTAATGAATAAATATATATTTTACTTTTTTTTTAAAAAAAATAAATTCGTGAAAATGGTCAAATTCTAAAAATAAAATCTAATATATTTATACTATTTTCTTATTATTGAGTAACCAGATTTAAACAATCTATTTTTTAAATGATAACTTAAGATATAAGCTTTAAAACAAATACTTTTATATTAAATATAATTATATATTGACGGAGATATAAGTGTTTTAATTTTTTTAAAAAATTAAACTCTCGAAAATAGTCAAATTCTAAAAATGGAGTCTAATTTATTTATACTATTTTCTTATTATAGAGTGATCTAATTTAAATAATCTTTTTTTTAAATTCTAGCTTAAGATATAAGCTTTAAAACAAATACTTTTTTATTAAATATAATTATATATTGTCAAAAATATAAGTGTTTTAATTTTTTAAAAAAAATTAAACTCGCGAAAATAGTCTAATTCTAAAAATGGAGTCTAATTTATTTATACTATTTTCTCATTATTGAGTAATCAGATTTAAACAATCTTTTTTTTAAGATATAAGTTTTAAGACAAATACTTTTTTATTAAATATAATTATATATTGACAGAAATATAAGTGTTTTAATTTTGACCTATGGGTCTATAGCACAGTGGTTAGTGCTCCATAGGTCAAATCATAAGATATCAGTTCAACTCCTTATGAAGGCAGCTGAATAGAATTAATACGGTATTTGGCACCATAACCTGGAATGCGCTGTTTCCCATAAAAAGCCATTTTACACACTAGTCCAGTGGGTGTTGGGATTGTGATCTCCAGAAAAGGTGTCGTGATGTGACGATCATCCAGTAGGAGCATGATGATTGTCAAGATCGGTAACACAAAGCACTAAGTCCCTCAGGGATCGTCAATGGAACTTTAACGGGCAATGTAAGCAAACCACTGGTGCTATCCTTGTGTAAGAGTTGCGCCCTGCTTGGTGAATAACTCCTAGATTTGACAGCTAATGTCAATCAAGAACCTGATAGATAAGTCTACTAGGAGATTCAGAAGTCGTGTCCCTACTGGTGAATAATCTCTAGGTTTGGTAGTGTGCGCCAACCATTGGACGAAGTTCTCGAATCATTGACTAGGTGGTACACAGATGTATTTAAATCCATTTATAGTTGCAAAAACCAAAGACGTGATTAAGAGGTGGTAAGATATAGAAGATTATCGTGGGTCCTAGTAAGGGGTAGAATGCCAGGGTCTAGATTAGGTTAGGCAGTTTAAAACTATTGATAGGATTTCCACCTCCTAAAGATCCAACTTGGAATATGGATCTACCTACTGGGTGTAAGTTAGTATAATCGGGTAAGGCTATAGGTGATAGGGGTGGGTTAACTTAGATGAACCGTTATAGTCATGTAATGGGTTTAATTACTTAATAAACATGTGCTATTAGTACCTTTTACCCGAAAAAAAAAAAAATAAGTATTTTAATTTTTTAAAAAAAATTAAACTCACGAAAATAATCAAATTCTAAAAATGGAGTCTAATTTATTTATACTATTTTCTCATTATTGAATAATCAAATTTAAATAATCTTTTTTTTAAATAATAGCTTAAAATATAAGCTTTCAAACAAATACTTTTATATTAAATTTAATTATATATTGATGAAGTTATAAGTATTTTGAATTCAGAATAAAAAAAAATAATCCAAATCATTTTAAATAAAAAAGGTTACCAAAAAATTTTTAACTAATTTTTTTGTCACTTTCAAAAATAACTATTCATATATAAAAGAAATACTAAACTAATTTGGAAAGAATTGCATATATACAAAGGATGAATAATACCTGGTTCTATCTTCAATTAATTTTCTACTATCCCAAATATCTTTGTAACTATTAGCAACAATATAATATTTCTTCCAAATAAAACAAAAATTAAATTTTGGGCTTTTTAAGATAATAACTATATCAATCTCATCAAAATACACATCAATACTATTTCCTTTACAATTATTAAAGACATATATTATTAACTTAGTAACAAAAAAATAATTTTATATTCATACTCAATCCAACTCTATGTCAAGGAAAAAAATATTCATAATCTCAAATCTGTTTGATACACTATATGGACAAACTCAAAATATTTACTCAACAATATTCAAGAACTTTTAGATTCTTTTTTGAATACAATGTAACCAATTCCTCAAATAATAATCACATGACTTCTCACAATCATGCAATCAACCATTATATACCTATATCACAACTTAAGTAGTAACAACTTTTCAGTCATAAAGCCTAATTGCATTCTTACATATATATTATACCTTAACTTCTGAGTTATTTTTTTGCCAGCCCTTTACCAAACTCTTACTAACATCTCACAGTTATTAACAATAAATATATATCTAAATACAATCTATAACACAAAGTCTCAAAGTATATTAACAGACAAATCAAAGCCCTCTTTAGCAGAATTATTAATAAATATAATATTTTTATAGTAGCAGAAAATCTTATCCTTCTGTGACACAAACTGAAAGATTAACAACCGCTTTCTGACACCTCTTCTATAATTAACACCTCAATTTCCCAATGCTTCCCATTGACATTCTCAATCTCACCATTAATTAACAATATACATGTAACTAACATAACAGATTGGATTACATTTATAAACTATTATACTAACTTATTTGATATATCTTTTAGCAAGTCAGCTATCTATAAATCCTCATTATTCGCAAATCAGGAAATCATCATTAAAGTTAATAAAAAATTAGAAATACCAATTAATTCAAATATAAAGCCCTATCCATCTTTAGGTCTAAACTTTTGGCAAACCAACTTCTAACTAGAATCAAGTTTCACAAGTGAAATCCAGATTACTATTCTGACAATATTAGCCTTAGGTATGATGCAGCTTCAGAGAATTTACCCCATATTTTTTCTTGTTTTTATAATAAACTTCTATTCAATAAAAAAAAACCAAAAATTGAAAACCTTATTCTAAACTTCAATCCAAAACATATAAAATCTATCAACTTTATTAACACTTTCAAATTATTAGAAAACTCTTTACTTAACTTAGCTACTTGCAAATTCAATTTCCCATTTGATTTTTTTCAAAAAAAAATATTATTTTTAATTATATACTTAAGTTCTCTATAAGGTCTAGAAATAGCACTCTGCTACAGTGACAACTTTACCAGCCTCTGAAATAAAATGGAAAAAAATAAGCAGCCCTAAATCTCTAAATTCAAGTATAAACAACAACACTATATTCAATACTATTGCAATCTTGTTAAATAACTTATACAA